GACAAGTCACTTAACTTCTCTGAGTCTCTGTTTCCTCTTCTGTAATGGGAACAAATGTCTTCCCTTCCCTCTTGCCCCCAAGGAAGGGCTCATGTGAGAACTGGGAACTTGGCTTACTACCTGGCACAGAATGAGTGCTCAATAAAGAGGCCATTCTTATTGCAAGTCCCCGGTAGGAGGGATGAATGAACGCGTAACACATTAAATAAGAGAATATTAATGGAACACTTTGGACAGTGCCTGGTACATAGTGAGAAATAAGAAAATGCTAAATACATAAAATTAAAAAGAGATGAAAAGCAGAGTTGCTAGTGGAAATCTTACATGGACCCAAAATGACTTCAGTACTCTAGGACAGTTTCTAGCTGGGCTTTCCCTGGAGTTCCTGCCTGGCTTGTTGCAGAGGAGAAAGGTGGGTGTAGCGAGAGACGTGGAGGCTCCCTCAGACATACTACCTGGCCTGGAACTTTCTACCTCCAAAAAGCAAAGCAGGAAAAAAGCCCACAACACAGCAGGAGAAACTATTTTGATTTTTAAACTTCAGATTCTAGATAATGTTTTTCCTGCCCTTTGCCTCCTTCCCAAAGGAACCTACCACCCTGGTTTCTATCACCGTAGGTTAGTTTTGCCCACTTTGACCTTTATGAAAATGGAATCATATGGTATGTTCTATTGTGTGCCTGGCTTCATTTGCTTGCAGTTGTCTGTGGGATTTATTCATGTTCTAGAGCGTATTTGTAGGTGGTCCTTTCTCACTGCAGTGTGGTGGGCTACAGTGTCAATGTACTCTGGTCTACTACGGATGGACGCTGGTGTCATCTCCAGTCTGGGCTCTCGTGGATGTAATGGACATTATAGTGCATGTTCTTCCGTGGATGAATGCACTCATTGCCGGGAACTTCTGGGCCAGAGGACAGGCGTGTGCTAGCTTTAGTGGACGTTGCCAGACTGTTTTCCAGAGTGGTAATACCCGTTTGCACAGCAGGACTGGTTTGCACTGCCTTCGAGTTGTGGTGGCTCTGCATCCTCTGCAACACTTGTCATTTTGTTTCCAATGTTCTACCCGGGCTTGTGGGCGTGTAGTGACAGTTCATTGTGCTTTTCAATTTGAATTTCTCTTATACTAATAAGGCTGCAAACCTTTCCATGTGCTAATTGGGCCACCTAGATATCTTCTTTCATGATGTGCCTGTTCAAATTTTTTGTCAGTTTTTTTATTGAGTTTCTGTCTTTTTCTACTGATTTGTAGTTATATATTCTGGATATGGGCCCCATGTCAGTTTTATGTGTTACGAATTTCTATTTTCAGTTTTATTCTATCAGTGATGCCTTCTGATGAAGAGACATTCTTAACTTTAACAAAGTCTAATTTAACAATCTTTTCCCTTAGTTTTTTTTTTTTTTTTGGTATGTACTGTTTAAGAAGTCTCCCTATCAATGCCAAGGTCATAAAGACATTCATGAGAATTTAAATACATGGCAAAATAAGTCTCAGCAATCCGTAGATAAGGCTACCTCCCAGCCCAGCCCTCACCAAAGGAATTATTTCTTATAGCAGTGGCAGTAGCCAGAGTAACATTTTCTCCTGCTGGTTCCCTGAACTCCAATTTGATAGGGCTGCCTTTTAAATGTTGTTCCATCATTTAGACAGAAGGCACGTTGCTGTCTCCAGCTATCTGCTTGTATGTTCTTGTTCTCATAAATGAGTTTTCCCTAGAGAATACCTGGCTATGCAGTGACATTCAGGAACTGGGCACCTTGGAGAGATGCCCAGCTCAGTTACCTGTCACCTGGAACATGAAACTGTGTGGTCTTTGATGGTTTGCTGGAGGAAAGGCTTCTTTTAATTCCCTATCCCAGGGATGAGGCCAGCGCCTCCTTTCATTCATACTGCTACACTCCCTGGGAGCCCATACAGCCTGTGAGGCCCCGTGTGGGAACTTTGGGCAAAACAAAGATCACCCAGATAACCCCATAACAGGACTAAGTCAATACAAATGGGTGGATGCTCAGGGTTCCTGGTAAGGTCACCATGCCTTCCTGAAACCCATTTGGCATTTTAATCTGACAAGGCCAGTTGTATTGCTGGGGCTGCTCCAGTGGAGAGGACAGGCCTAGGAAGCATGCGTGGGCTTCCACAGGGGGTGAGCAAGACAGAGGGGCAGATGAGTGGTGGGTTAGCAAATGTTTACTACCAGCTCTCTGCAGAAAAGCTCTGATTTGTAGCATTTGCCAATTCCTATGGTGTAAATACTCCTACTATGGCCGATTCCAAGCTACCAACGTGATGTCACTGAACGTGGAGATGGACAGAGACATGCAGTAGCACACCGTTGTACTGAATTTCTACCATGCAGATATAATAGACCTAGATATCCTCAAGAGCATGGATAAGTCTAGTAAATAATTAGGAAGTGCTGAGGTTTGAGTATTTGTTACATCTTTTAAATAATTTATTCAGTTGCTAGCTTATATTATATAACATAATTCTTAATGGCTGTATTTAACAACCAGCTCACAAAATTCCTGAAAACTTACCAATTGGCTCTCAAGAGTCCGTGGGAGCTGCTCCAGCACTCCACGGGAGGCTTGGGGCTGCAGAAATGACTTTTGCGTGGCTGAGGCAAGGGGAGCGATTCAGCTCTCAACAGTGTCTGGTGCCCCAGAGCAACAATGTTTTGGGCTTAGCTGAGCTACACCGAGTGGTTCTCAGGGGCGTCCATTGCCAGTACAGAAGGCACCTTCCTGGGGACCGGCCTGTCCAGTGTCACTGTGTCCCACGGCAATCAGGACACAGTGCCCCATAGGATAGAAGGCCAGCATGCCTTAGTGATCTGATTTCTGGAAGAGGTGGAGAAATTGCAGATGGCCCTGACTCAGTTGCATGAGTGTGGGCCACAGGCTCTGTGCCAGGGTTCCTGCTTCTTGCCCTACCAATACAGTCATGCAGCTTTCAATAATCTGCCCATCCAATGATTCCATCGTTATTTAAGCACCCTGTTCCCCAGAACATAAAGTCCAAACTGCTTAGCCTGGTTTGTAAGGTACTGAGGAATTATTTTTTTAATTGGGCCCAGGAATTTAACCCTTGCACATTTGGGTTCTAGGAGAAGCTAGACATTCCACCTTCTGGCAAATGCTATGCATTTTCCTACTCTGGGCAGTCCCTCAGCCAGGAGCACCTTCTGCTTTCTCAACCCAGAAAAATACTATACCTTTTTTTTTTGTTTTATGATTTTTTAAAAAATTTATTTTGTATTTGTATGTATTCATGGGGTACAAGTGCAATTTTGCTAGCTGATATATTGCATTGTGGTGCAGTCAGGGCCTTCAGTGCATCCATCACTGAAGCAACACGCTGTGTCCG